TGGGGCAGGAGACGCAAAAAGCATGCATCATGAGCCTTCCTCTTCGTCCGCGGCTTCCGATTTCACGCTGCCCTGGCAACACAAGTGATCAGTAGCAGCACACAAAACGCGTGGACTCGCGCATGGATCACTTGCAAGCTAGCATGATTTCACATCCTGCGCGCATCTATGCTCATCTAATCTCATCTACACACGTCTTCAGATGTCCGATTGGACAAGAGATGACAAGAGTAGGCCGGCACATGCAGCATCGTGCAGCATTCCCATGGGGTCGGAAGTAGCTCTAAATCCTGGCTGCATCTACCATGCACAACCCTAGGCGCGAGCGTGCACCACCGACGTCCAAGAGAGGACAATTACAGCAGTGCTCGGGCCACCTGAGTGTGGGATGGGCTGAGAACAAATTGAACACATACGCTTGATTCTCCCACAATAGTCTCCCTGATGACGCTGCGCATACTCCAGGAAAACTAAACCACATGATACCATATGTGAGAGGACGCAAGACTAGAAGTGGATCATGACGGATGGGTTCAGAATGGCTCAGGTGTCCCAACTGCAAACTACAAAATATCTTGTCAAATCAGATCAATAAACGCTTGCTCAGCAAGTCTTCCACAAAGCCTTCTACAGGTAGTCTGTAGCAGCTGAAGCCAAAACGGTGCATTAAAGGCGAGCAATCGCTCGCAACGTCTCAGATGAGACAATTCCACGCAGGTGATGGAGCCGCATCTCCTGCATGGGAAACCGAGATAAGTTAAGAGCTTGGGATGTTTTGGGGTCTGCACGGTTTGGGAACTAGAGCGTGGGATTTCATTCAAACCTAGCCGACCTCGTAACCCTGAAACCTACACACAAAAGCACGCTAAAGTTCCGCTAGAGCCAAGGTATCCCATGATATCCCATTATATCCCAAGATATCCCACATTATCCCAAAGTAATGGAGTATCCCGAACCACGCAGAGCACAACAGGCAGGGATCAGTTCCTGAACCCAAGGTACTGGAGCATCCCGAACCACACCAAGACACACAAAGCACATCAAAGCATGACACTCAGGGAACACTTAGGCCCTGCATCCTGAATCCCAGACCAGCCCTGACCCCAGCCCGAAACCCAAGCCCAAACATGTCCCAACATTCCAACCCCAATTTCTGCCTCCCCATCGCTGCTTGGCATAGGATTCTGCTCTGGCATGTCCTAACAAGGAAAACAAATGCACAAGGACTGCTTCCTGCTCCCAGCACTGCAATCAACTAATGCGCGCGGTGACTCACGTGGGCCCCCCCCCCAACCCCGTCCTGCATTCCGGGGGAATCCATTCCCTTCGTTCCTCTGCAGGGCATCTTGCGAGGATGCGCGCAGGCTGCAGGCTCGGTAAAGCAGCACAGGCCTTCACGGATGATATCCATGAGCATTCACACCTCCTTGCAAAACAAGGCCAGCGCATGGCGTGCCGCATGACAACACTTAGAGATCTAGCAGATTGGCAAGTGCATGGACTCATTGTGTAGGGATCCGGCTGTGGAGAATTAGGGCTTCGGGGTTAAGGGGTCTAGCACGATCAAGCAATACCTAGAGCCCAAGTCCGCTGCCCCACCCCAGTCCTCCGCTCCAGATCTTCCGCAACGCTTCTGCGACATGGCCTGCAGGGCTTCGTGCAAGGATGTCCGCGGAATGCAATCTCTGAGAAACAACACAGGCCTTCTCAGAAGATGTCCATGAGGCCTCGGCAGCATGTGGCAGACCGCATCAACACACTCGGGCGTCTAACAATTTGGGGGTTGATGGGTTGAGGGTTATGCTATAGGGTGCTCTAGGTTCAGGATGGCAAGGCTTGCAGGTCCACATCAAGTTCTAGTGATTCTGTTGGACTCTTCTCTAGGGATGTAGGATGATGTAAGATCATGTAGGTATAGCATGGCTGAGGGTTCCCATAAAATGCACAAGGTTGAGGATGGCAAGGGCTGCAGGTCCGCGCTGTATTGCACTATTGCCCTCACGGACGTAAGATCATCTAGGCTTATGACAGTTGAGGGCTTGGGAGGATGTTGTAGGATTGGGATGGCAAGGGGTGTAGGCTGATCTAGGTTTAGGGGTCCAAAGAATGTTGAAAGTTCAAAGGTGCAGGCATTTCCAGGTGTCAGATGTGGGTTTAGGATGATGTGGGGATAGCGGGTTGGCAGACTGGGGATGGGTCAGGTGTGTCGACATATCCGAATCATACTACATCCCTGGGAGAACCATGGGAGTACCAAAAAAAAAGGCCAAGCGAGCCTGCAACCCCAACCAGCGCCGTCCCAAATTCCGAGCGTCCTGCCCGGAACGTTAACCCTCCTAGGCCCTGAACTCTACCCCTAGGCCATCCTGAGCCTATCTAAACCTACGTGGTCCTATGTCCCTGAGACCGTCTGCACGCCATGCGCCCCCGCCTGCCGGGATCCACGGCCTGCTGTCTTGCCATCTGCCTGCACGGAGGAAGAAGGCAGGATAGGGAAGCCACGGAATCAGACAAAATCAGACAAACCTGGTACCAATGGAAGGTCCATGACGACTCCTGAAGCCAGAATATGCCAGAATGATACATGGACGCGGCTGCAAGGATTCCCAAAACGCTCCAGAAGTTTAAGGTCCTCGTTCCAGGTCCAGTAGCCGCCCGCTGACTCATCCTGCAAGGCAAAGAAAGCACAAGGAAATCTGGCGGGATCCAACGTCCTTGTAGAAGCTGGACGACCAGTCATGAACGCCCTGCCCAAGCAAACAACAGAGGCGAAAGATTTCGAGGAGATTGCTACCCTGCCTTCCACAACTCCAAGCGCCACTCATGGTCCTGCAGCAGAGGAAGGCCCACAGAGCGTACCATGTATTGAAAAATATTGTGATCTATACGCGTTATATTTATTATATCTTATTACCATATACTACCATCAATCCTTCTGCAAGCCAGGGTCCTCCGTCTGGCTCCATAACCAGTAGCCGTCTGACTCCTGGCCACAGCGGCTGTTGAAAAGAGCTCCAGAAGCAAACATCTGGGAGATCCTTCCAGCTCCACGAGCGCCATGAATACCACGATGCCTCCCGGATAGCGCACAGCATCAGGCAACAAGAGCAGGCATCGGCTCGAAAATATTCAGGCACCTCTTCCCAGCTACAGTTCCACGGGATGTCATCCTGGCCAGGAGGACTAATATACGCTGATTGCACGAGCTTGAAAATGTTTGGAAACAAAAAAAGCCCTGAGGCCGAATCCAATGATCTAGGATTTGCAGTTACTAAAAAAATGCAAGGCCTGACCATGTGCACAAAAAATCCACGAAAGATCACTAAACTAAAGGCATGAGCAGTCGACTCCGCTCCTGCTGGAGGTCCTCAAACTTGTCAGGAGTAGCCGGTTCAAGACAAGAGCTGGGACTCTCTTGCTCCCAAGGTGTGGATGCTGCCGCGAAGGAAGATGTCGGTGTTGCCGGCAAGGAAATCGAAACTGCAGGAGAAGGCGACGCAAGCGAAGCTGGGGAACTCGGGGAGGGCTTCGGTGTGTCAGGCAGCGACTGTGGCGAGTGCGGCGACAGCTTGTAGATGCCCAGCTCGACCTCATCCTCCTCCTCTTCCACTGGTGAAGGAAGTCTGCGACGCCGGGCGCGTGCCTGAGCCGCCGCCTCCAAAGCCGCCAAGTGACGCTGCTGGCGAGCTTGCTCCGCTTTGACTGCAAGCTGCCGCTCCTGCATCATCGAGGCAAACTCTCCAGGCGCCCCCATGTCGCAGCTTTGGCAGATCCTGCGTTTCTTGCCTGGCTTGGCCAAGGCCTATTGGGGTAGGGCCTGGAAGGGAGGGAAAGCCATGGCAGCAAAAGGACTGCCGCGCCACAACACGCTCTCGCTTTGGCTGTCGCCCTTTCGAGTCTCAGTGAACCCACGTGAATCAGGCTATCTTTCAGTTTGACGCCTCACTAAGGCTACGGTCCTATAAGGACATGGTGAATGGTCAGGCATGGTCAGGCAGAACATCTACCATTAAAGCACAGAATGTCTTTGTAACACACGCCACTGCCACAACACGCCAGAGCTGAAAGCCAAAACTGCTACGGACACGCTCGCACGTAATCGCTCATGCTGTCTCACGCTTACTCATGCTGGCACAGGCTCACTAGCGATCAATAATGCAAATACCCGCCTGCCCCAAAGCAGCGTGCTCCTTCTTCGCGGCCTCACAAAAAAGATACTCCAGCATACTCCAGCATACTTACACAGGACTCCCCCAGATCGGAAAGCATCTAGGATCCACGCTTTCCATGCAGCCAGCGTGGGCGGCATCTGTCCGTAACAGAAATTAGGTCTGAAAAGAATGCGAAGGATGTCCAACACTGCACGCTTGCCTCCCATCCATTGTGATCAGCGCTGGCCTTTGCCAGCTTAAATGATCTGAAGCCAGTTCCACCCGAGTAGCTCCATTCATCTGAGCAGCCAAGAAAAATCCAAAAGACCATGCAAAGAAGCGGAGCACATGATTATCCGAGGAACGGATCTCGTCCCCCGCTCTAGGCCCAGTTTGCCGCATGCCCACAACGACAATCTGCCATTTGCCCATTGCTGCGAAGGTTTGACACGCTGCTGCACTGGGTTGGTCTCTCTACGGCCTGCTTATGCCTGCTTGATGCCTACCCCTGGCTGAAGTGAAGCTATTTGCCACAGCGTGCCACAACTGTACTGAATTTGCCGCCTTGGACATCTTGAGCCCTGGCTATCTCTGATCTGGTTTGAACACTCACTCTTGGATCCGTAATGACATGCAATGCCACGTGCTGCATTCTGGATTTGCTTGGACGGCCTGACAAGATCTGCCATGTATCATCACATATCATCACCACCTCCCCCCCCTGCATGCCGTGGACATTGCCCGCAAGTGGTAAATGTAGGAAAACCTTCCTACATTTAGAGTACCCCCCCCCATCCTACATTTACTAAGGGGGTGGGGATCCACCAAATTTATGTGCAAGCCGGTGGCCAGAAGTGCCACTGACTGCCACGCAGGCAGAAAACATAACCGCCAAGAAGGTCACCGCGATGAGCATGAGAAGCAATTCAGGTAAAACATTTATTGCCACCAGAACGTAGGCCTTGACACTTGTGTTGCCAATTTGTGAAATCCAGTGGCTAAAGAACTTCAACTAATACGGAACAAAACTTCGAACTACCAAGCAACAGACCAGCAAATCACAAGGTCTCTGCCAGGGCTTAAGCAAAATCAAGCCGCGTTCAACTTGATCGATAAAGCCGCAAGATCCACAAGCAATGCCATATACAAGCCCACAATGAACAAGGAGAGAACGGAATACCTGAGCACTGCCGGAGACAATGCGATTCTCATGACTGAAGAGGGGGTTTCCTAAATTAGGGGTAACATTTTGGGGGTCCTTATCATAAGGACCATAATCTTTCGGGATCTACCTTGGGGTCCCAATACTATCAGAGAATCGCAGCAGTATGCGGCTTCCAAATCGCAAGTCCTGCGTCCAAAAATTGAGCAGGCTACCTGCCCTGGAGGAAATAGCCGATTATGGGGCGGGCCCGAGAACCAAAGGCCAGCCCAGTGCGGCACATGCCATATCACAGCACCCTAGAAAAAGGGCTTTCTGTAACTATGCTATATTAGGGTTTTCGGTTTAGGTAGGGTTTGGGATTGGATCCAAGCCACTCCAAATTGGGTGGCCGCCTCCAAAAATTAAAGCTCCGACAGGGCTCAATGAACCCATCTTTGCATTCTAGACCATGTTGGTTGAACCTTAAGCCCTGATCCCTTTGGAACCGAGGACTCCAAATGCCGGGCTCTTCCTGTATCCCAATATAACCTCTGTAACTCCAAAGACTCTAGTATATTGGGGTCTCTGTCGAGGGGCCCCCGATTACTGGAATCCCGGACATCGCCACAGCACGACACGGCTTTAGGAAGGACCTCTAATCCCATTACCTTACATCCTTATATACCCGCTATATAACCAAGTAGTCTCCATACTATCCCATAATGGGTCCCCATTGAGGGTCCCTCCTCAAACCCCCAAACACTTCAGTCTTTGTACTGCCAAGCTGCACTTCACGGACACCCTGCAGACAGCAGGAGGCAGGTCAAAAGCAGCTAGCCCCCTCCCCTTCATAAGGTTGTATGGAATCTGCATAGGAATATGCAGGGTCTAGAATGCTTTTTGGGGGTCTAGGGTTTGGGGTGACCTCCACATTACATAATGAAGGAGCAAGTGGAAAATCGAGTGGAAGGTCAAATAGAAACCGAAAACAAATGATAAACCCGCACCTCCTCAACGATAGGTATTGCACCTATTATGTAGTGGCGTTATGTTGGGGGTTGTTGCTATATTGGGGGGGTTGTTTGCGAGGGAGAGAAAATTCATTTTACGGGGAGCACTTGACGTCCCATGGATTGAAGACTTGAATAGAAGACAGCCCAAAGTTGGTCAACGAGCCGTCTCCCTAGTCATTGGCCCCATATCGGAGTCACTTTCAGCCGTGTTCTGCGGAAAGTTTCGCATGACGCAGCCAAATCCGGCCTGGGCCTCCGGGCAGAGATCCGTGAAACGGCCTGCGCCAAAACTGGGCATCAGCACAACCAAGGCCAAGAATTGCGAACAAGGCCAACCTCACACATATGGTTCTGGGTAAACAGATGTAAAAGAGGCAGCCTGCGCCAGGGAAATCGCCCTCGTAGTGCTGCAAGCAATACCTAAGCAAGCATCAGCACGTGCTGCAACGGCGGATAAGCAAAAGCAGCACTGGCTGACTCAACAGATTAATGGTCTGGCGCAATTGGCCAGTAGTTTTTGCTTCTTCCACAGATAATCATACCAAGGCACAGCACAGGCTCGATAAAGAACGTGACGATGAGAGACTTGGATGCTACAAGAGGACCACACTACACACACTGTGTTTCAGTAGAAATGCTGCATCCACCTCTCCAACACACCTTCAGTTTGGCACAAGTAAATGCCAGTGCCGTGGTAAGGGCTGGGCCGCTGCCAGCAAGCATGATATCGCTTCACGCCAATTTTCCACAAGCCGTCTAGGAATTGGTACACGAGCTATGCTGACCTCATGTTCCGCTGCAAGGCTGCATGAAAGGTTTCTTTTTCTTCTGCAACCCAAGGCTGATGAAGCCGACTGGCCAAATCACCATCCTTAAAGGCTTTGCAGACGTGGCGAACACGGCCATAAATAAGCTGAGTCATGCCTGTCAAGGCAGCTGAGAGTTTGCAGGTATTCTTATGTTTTCCGGCGAGCAGGATTGAGCCCCCAAAATGTACAACACAGCAGGCCGGCGCACCTAGAAAGTAGATGATACACCGGCAGCTGAACATAGCAACTCGCGATGCCATCTCAGCCTGCGCCTTGGATGAATGGGCAAGGCTTCCGCAACATCAAAGTTAACGCTTGTGAAAAGAACCTGGCTTATAACTCTCACTTCCCTGAACCCGGGCAGAGCCCCAGTTCAGGCTGTGCAAATCTCGGGACAGCTGTCGTTTTTCCCTGATGCCGCTGGGAAGTGCAACAAGGACAGCTCTGGGTCCTGGCATTCCAAATGCATTCCACTAAGTCAGCATGCAAGGCTGCAAGAGACACTGCAAAAAGCTTCACCCTCTGAATTCCTCTCGCCAAGATTTATAAACCAAAGCTTCATACTCCTGAGGTCCAACGCCTTATCATAGCAATCAAGCTCCTAGAGACGTAAGTCCAACTGTCAGTCCTGAAATAGCCGCTCCATGTCAGAGGCCAGTCGAATGCTTCGCACGAAGCGCACCTGGTACATGAGCAAGTTTTCGCGTGTCTTGCGAAAGAGACAACTGTATGCGTGGAGAAACGTTCAGAACGGAGAGTCTGCTCTCTGAGTACATGTGCATACTGAAACACAATCCAGTCTAGCTTCACCTGCGCAAAGCCGCCGCCACGCTTATGCTACTTCAACTGTATACAAACATCCGTGGGATAGACCTAAAATAAACCCTTAACCCTATGGATTGATCTGCCTGCGTTGCGCATCTGATGCATCTCCCGGAGGTTAGCTACAGACATGACATCGAATGCGCGTAAGGCTCGCAACCAAACTTGGGGGTACCTTTAACGGGGCTTCATAGTGGGTGTATATATATATATATAGGATTTTTACACGGATTATATAGTGGTTATAAAAGTTCTACAGCAGTTATATAGGCAGTATGTAGGGATTATAATAGGCTTAGGGTTCCTGAATTCTACGGACACATCGTTTATGTTCCCGATCCAAGGCTAGATCCTAAGAACCCGCTCCACCATGACGGCCCGGCCGTCACTTTGCTGGCTGCTGGGAAAGTGGAAGCTCTGCTCATGGAGGCGAAGAGAGGCGCCCCGAGCATTGCAGGGATGGCCTCCTGTCAGTTTTCTGCTTTCAAACGGGGCGGATCTCAGAGCTTTACCCACGCAAAACCCTTGAGTTTTACTGCATTTCTACTCCCAAGAAGGATCCCAAACCCACCTCTTACAGTACTCACTCAAATCCCCTTTAGCTCCTGTTTTTCACTCCGACTTGGAGCTTAAAACTAGTAAACACAAAGTGATGTGGCGTGGCGCGGCCCGTGCAAGCCGAGCAATAGTACTGTATGCCTATATGCAGGGGTTCCTCCGAAGCGGGATTGTTTAGAGACGCAAAAACGAAACCTCATGATCAATTCTTTGCCCCAGCAGGTCAGGGGAGAGGCTGGTGAAGCTCTCTTTTATACCCTATTAAATGGCAGTGTTTGCATTTTTCCACCACCCTTCTATCCGCCATATAATCTCTATATGTCTCCCAATTCTGGAGCACTGGGGCCTCGCCCAGGGAACTGTTCTTGCTCCAGAAAAGCATCTGAGCCTGACAACATGAGAAGGGCTTTTGCCTGCATTTTCCTGTTCAAAACTTCGAGGGGAAAAGTTTTCTCAGCACTCTACTTTGGGTACTGCCCCCAGTGTGTGCTGGGGTTGATGTTAGGGGCGAATCTTTCTTGGGGAGGGCAGAACCCAAGCTCTACCCAACACCCTACCTCCAGGTGTGGACTCCGTATTGGGATCGAATCGCGGCAGCGCAGAAGCTGCCGAAGTTCGGGGACCTCCTGGTAGTTTCCATAAACAGGTGACCCAATATAAACCTCGATATACCATTATCACTATTATTGAGACCTCCAAAGTGATACCCCTAATTTTTGGAAGCGCCCTCCTCGACCAAGGGGCTTCGCAGCTGCCATCGCAGGTCAAGCTCTGCTAAACGGCGCTCCTGCTCGCAGCAACAACATTTCTAAGGTCCGATGTAGGGCCCCTAATATGGCACTTACCCTTTGGGTCCCGATCGACCCAGCACATACCCTTTGGATAACCTTGAGGGTCCATATAATCTAAGGGCCCATACTTCTGCCCAAGCATTGGTAGTAAACGAAAGCAGGATAAGACCGGATAGGGCTAGGAATAACAAGTATGGCATTACTGATAACAGTGCCCACACAAACAATGAAAAAAATACGGTGGGTGACATGACAACCACACAGTGCTCTCGCCTGCTCTTCTTCGGGCAAAGAGCTATGGATCTCCAGGTCCTCCTCGAAAGTGTATTCCACAAACGGAGGCAGAATGAATTCTTGCTCCACTCGGCCATTCAAGCCATTGAAGAATTGAACTGGAAAGGCCCAGTCTTGTCTTTGAGGCGTTGAAGTGGTGATCTTGTCAAAGCGCCGCATAATCAGCAACAGAACGTGCCGATGCGTGTTTGCCAAGTGGGCAACTTTTGTGTGTGAAGATGCATAAAAATTCAAAACATGAAGGGCCCCGCACGGATATCTAGAGAAGGAGTTGAAGGTCCACTGAAGTCGGGCAGCCTCTTCATCGATGACATCTGGCACCCAAAGCCCGCGAAAGAGCAATGAGCCGGTAAGATCCACAGGAAGAACGCCCTCAGGCGCAGATCCTGAGAGAGGCAACAAGGAGCGCAAGTCCACTGCCGCATCCTGTCCTGCCAAGTGCGCCTTCCGATTCCCTCTCCCATGTTTAAGGCAAACAGTATAGAGCACTTGTAAGGCGGCGATAAGGAAAAAGACGAGGCATGAGAAGGGCGTTCCATCCCCGGAATCCAGCACCTCGAGCATTTCCAGGCTGCGAGCATCTTGTGGGAGATCAGCATGCGCATCCAAGCGCATGCCCCGCATTCGTGAGGTGATCTCGTACAAGTGAGGCGTGTTCCGCACGTACAAGGCCAAAGGTATGCTCACAAACAGCATGTGTTTCTCGTTCACATGCAGCTTGGCAAAATGAGGGTCACGGTCTAGGGCGACGCCTGCTAGACCAGCCTCATCTGTCCTTGCCAAGTAGCCTAGAAAATCATCTGTTGAAACTGCAGCTAGGTCTTGGGAAGATTGGCTCGAACCCATTTTGTCATGTCTGAAGATCCAGGATTGAGATGAGAACTGCATGTGAACGGTCTGCACTTCTATGTGCTCTTCAATCCAGTGGAACAGCTCGCGAAGGCTTCGAGACCACCAGGGATTCGAGGGCCTACAAGCTTCGCGGAAATCTTTGCGCAGCTGCGTCACCAAGCTGGCCAAGGTCGGGGGCTCTGTTTCGACAGTTGCTTGCTGGAGGATATCCAGCGGAAACCTTGGCTGCGACCATTCTGTGCACGTGACCATGACTTGACTTGGAACGTGCTAACAACAAAAAGCACGCTACTGGCTTTGCCGGAACGAGATGAGCTGCTCAAGCAGCGTTCGAAAGGACTGCAGCAGAACTTGCCCTCCAGGGCCCTGTGACCGCAAATCCAGTAACAGGTGCGCGAAGGCGGCTGCATCGTTTTCCCAGTGCTCCATGCTAGTATCATGCCAGCATGACTGAGACCTGCCAAACCTGCATTTTATACACTTCGGCTTCGACTTGGCTCAAGCACCCCCTGATTTTTTGGATCAAATGTTCTTGAACTTTTGCCGGGTCTGCAAGTCAGCCATCCTGCCTGCTTCCTGATCTTAAGCTGGCCTTCTGTCTAACGCTTCAGAAGTTTGAGCACAATGGCATCCAAAGGCGGCATTCATGATTTCAACTAGCTAGACTACAGTAGCTCCCGCAGCAAACGCCTCTCATTGCCACACCCCTCCGGAAGCATCCCATCCATTGCCAACGAGTCTCCCATTCATGATTGAGGAAGCCATGGCTCAGAACAAACAAGGTAAAGCTGAAGAGAAGCCACGTGCTGCCGAAGATGAACCTGGAACGTATCAAGCCTCGCAGTGCTGCAGAGGTCTTTAAACAGAAGAGCCATGCCTTCGGACATGCTGAAGAGGCCTATGTTCTGCAACAGTGTTGCGGGCCGGGTTGGAGGAGGAGAGTGATAGTACCATGTGCCAAGTCAAGACATGGTGGCTCCCCGAAGGCCTGTCCAGAGTATGTCAGTCAGCCGCAGCAACACAGTGTGTACAGCGACATGCGGATCCTGCAGAACAGTGACAATCAGAATCACTGCAAGTACAAAACCTGCACGACAAGGTATCCTGATGTTACTCTGCAAACTCTAAACCAACAGGATGCCTAATCATCGGATTGGAGTTGCGAGCCAACGCTAGGCATGGTGGCAAGGAGCCTTCAGCTTCACAATAGATTTGAATGCAGGGGCAAATTTGCCATTTCCTTGGCCATTTATCGTTCTGCTCGGGCACTGGTAGTCAAGCATGCAGGGCCAACAAACTGTGCTTAACATTGCGTACCTTTATGCGGCACCTTGCAGCAGTCATCTTGCTTGCCAAGGTGTCCATCTACGATCAGATGCTTGATGTAATAGTTTGTCCGCCGCAGCCCATTCGACGATAAGTGGGAGTGCCATACCATTCCATCAAGCAACGTCTTTAGCAGACACTGGGCCTGAACTAGACCAAGATCAAGTCATGTGCTTGAAATGCTAGCGACCCCTTCTGAGAAACACATCAACAAACGCTTCAGGCGGCGGCCTGCGTGCAAAGCATCTGGATGATATCTGGATGCCGCCTGCAGCCATAATGCGAGATTGTGGACACAACTCTACAAAACTGCTACAACGGAAGGCTCCATAGCGACAGCCTTGACAACAAACTGGCTTCTCTGATTTGAAATAGCATTCCCTTCACCTCACCAAGAAACAGCCGAGGCTCTCAAACAAGGCATCGAGGCCTGAGACCGCGAGTAGTGCTAGTGTTTTGTGGTGCAGGGAGCAAAGGATCATGAAAGCTGGTTTGCAACTCATGCAACTGTCCGTCATCCCTGCAGCTTTCATCAGCAGACCCGTCTAGGTACCCACTGCGGTCTAACTCAAGTTCTTGAAGGAAGCTGCCTGCAGTGTGTGGCTTTTGGAACACACCAACTTAGTCAAAGCTCCGTAATAGTACTTCTCGCGGTCTGCCCGGATGGTCAACAGGTCCTGGATGATAAGCTCCTTATCAGCTGCCGACTTGCAGGCAAACATTTTAGTGCGGGATCAATTTGTCCATTCTCTGCAGTGCATGATATCTCTTGACTTGCTACGGCTGGCAACCCTCTTGCCTTTCAAAATTCCCACCAGGAGTCAGCAGCCGTCCAATTGCCACTGGTGACTGCCCATTCCAGGGGTGAGATCGATTTTGTTCCCACCTTGGACCAAACAACTCTGGGCTAAACCCCCGCAACATCTACAATCATTCTCAGCCTGACAGGCACCTGCTTTTTTACTTTGTCAATAGGCTTAACTTACAGTAGGCTTACGGATTCTGAGCAGCTTTGCAGCCACGAAACCTCTGCTTGAGAAAGTCCTAGGTGCTGTCCAGCTGCTGAGACAGTGAGGACCCAATTGAAGCGTTCACCACGCGGTGCACAAATGAGCGCACTTCCCAGCAATTCCTTGGAATTCTGGTTGATGGCCTCACAAGATCTGCCGCGCTGCCCACGCTTTAGACATAGGCAAGCTTGCAGATCCTCTGTCGTGTCCAAGATTCACTCTTGAATGATGCCAGCTTCTGAGTGCTTGGATGCTTTCAAACAACTGTACGCCGCTGGAAGTTTGTCTTCTACACGTGCTGTCCCAGCCTTCATGACAATCGTGGAGCCTTCCTTGATCGTTCGAACCAGCATTCGAGACATCAGCCTGACACATTCTGCTGGTATGCGCGGGCGTTGCAAGCTTAAGCAGAGCAGCTGACAGCGCAACACTGCATGCAGCACGGCCACCCCAACGACCAGGCAAAGCTGTCAATGATTGATTCGTCATCGACACGGTTTTTGGCGACATCAATGAAAGCGCTCACGAAAGGCCCAAAAAATTCCTTAATGTCTCGTTCGGCTCATTGATTTTGACTCGACAGTGCAGGGGCCCAACGCTCACCGAAGAGACAGCGACAGGAGTGTCAAGCAGCGGTAGGGACAGCGTAGCCCACGTGTCGCAGACCAAGGGCTGAAAGCTCCCCGACCATACCATAAGGATCCTTGCAAGAAATCTGACTGAAGACTGGCTTCCTAGCCTGCAAGCACACAAGAAATCTTGACATCATGACTGCGCAGCATGATGCATCGCTTTCTTCGACGTTGCTTTCGCATCTCAAACGACTTGCTTTTGATTCCTATGACCACTAGGAAGTCCTCGTAGAGCTCCTGGCCTCAGGCAATGTCTTGTGACAGTGCAACAGTTTTGTCATCGCAGCAGGTCGTCACAAGAAACTTCGTAATTTGCAACAGTATTCCTCTCGTCAAAGTAGTCATCACCTTCTGGTGAGAATCTTTTTGGAAAGGCGTAGTGCTAAGAATCATCACCTCGAAAAAAGAACCCTCAGCAGCCGCCTAAACCTGGACCTGGGTCGGTCACCAACCAACATGTCTGACTTGGGAACCAAAGGTTGCGCGCAGGCAATGCTAAGACAAGCTCCACATGTGACTGGCAAGTGCAGAGGTCAAGCTCATGAGAAGTGCAGGCATGCCGCTCAACTGCATGACCGACTCAGCTATGAAGTGTAGGCGGGTCCGTGACTGCTTCATGTAATCCTGACCTGATTTCCAGCCATTAAGGAAAACTCAAGCAGGAGCGAAACCAGCAAGATCTGACAAACTGGGGGCTGCACCAGCAGGAACCATGGAGAAAAAGTTGCCTTACAAATGCGGATACAGCAAGCTCCCGGACTGAACGCGCCAGCAGCAACGCTCCTGAAATCTGACCCAGCTGCCGTATACTGCTTCTCCGATCTCCACGCGAGCTTCCTCATCTAAGGATGCCAAGTATCTCGTCAATGTCTTGGCCTTAGTGCTAGGTATGCAGAAGTTCACACCACATACCCGCAGGCAAGCGCAACAGGTTGGAAGAACCATGACATGCTCCAGACTCCCCCCTTCAAGACCTCTGGAACAGCAGGTGGGACTTGGTCTAAATTAATGTTCCCAAAATGTGGAAAATGTATACAAGGGCCCGGTATGAGAGGAAACCCGCTACAGGGACCCTTGTTATACTGAGTTAGCTCCAGGATGCACTCCATGAGCGTCAGCTGAGCTGCCCTGGCTGAAGCCTTCCCCATCTCGGCTTCCAGCAGAGTCCTTAGCATAGACGCCCTCTGCTGCACTCATTTTACGGGAGCCCACGAAGAGGAATGCATAGGGAAAAGCACCTCGAAAATGAGTGCCAGCTTAGCTGGGCTTTCCTATATACCTTGCCAAACACACGTAGATACTGACTTTTTTGGTTGGATACTCTGGTGCGAAATCCTCAACAGTACTTAGGCGCGCATCGACCTGCGACTCCCGTTGCCGGAAGCAAACAAAACTGTTTGCAAGGCCGCTACACGACCAGACTCCGGCAGGCGATCTCACCATCACATACTAAAATTGTCAGGGGACGTCCCAAGTCAGAACCAGAACTACCAGCCCTAGAAATGGCGCTCAGAGATGGCTGCAGGCAAGGTTCTGCACATTCTCCCAAAGCCAGCCTGGGCAAAACTTTGCAACCAGCCTATCGGCTTTGGTGTTGGCAAGAAGGCATGGCATACTGGCCCCAAAACCTTCCGAATCTCTGCTACACAAGCCCTGTCACTTGAAACCCTTTGCTGATGTGAAGTATTTGCACGAGGACTGCCAAACAACAGTCTTTCCAAGTATACAATGCTTTGTCAGGGTCTGCCTGGCAGGCTACACCTTCACAGGCTTTACACGCGTTGGTCACCTGGACAGGAGCTTGTGACAGAAGTTCTCAGAAGTGCTGGCCTTCCCTCAATTGCCTCTGTGAAAAGAGCCGTTGCAAATGTTGACTCATTACTCCGCAAAGAAGTGCGGCATCATCGGCATCCAAGACGCACCAGACTTGTTCATGGGCCGCTGTCCAGTCCTGCTCAACAAGTGCATGCCTTCTCTGGCCTCTTACGAAGCCTTTGTGCATGCGTGCTTTGCCTCAATGGGCACGCAAAAAAGAAGTTATCCTTGGGAAGCAGTGACCGCAGAGACGAAAGCATCACCTTTGCATGCAAGCACGAATAACTTCTGACTCTGCTGACTATGCAGAACCAACATATTGCTACGTATGACCGTGCGTGTCAGCATGAGAACTGACGAGATCCACAAAGGACAGCCCGAACAGCTTGACTTGTAATCCAAGCTGCGGCTTTGAAGTCAGTCAAGTGGATCTCCCCATCCAACTTGGACATCTTCAAGGTGAGAACATCGCATTCCTCCTGGCATCGCGGGTCTGCTTGAGACTGAAAACCTTCCTTGGACATTTTACAGAATGTAAATTCTTGGTGCTGGATTTGGGAGTTAACCTGCGATCCTACATTTCATTCAAGTTCGCACGCATGCTCAAGCATGGTTACAGCAAACCACTCCTGTAGCCGATAGGTATTAGCGGCATTGGACACAATGTCGTCAAAGGCATCCAAAATTTCAAACATCCAGTCCTCCAGCCATGAGCACGGCTGAAGACACACGTTCCAGTAACATGCGCATTAGTGCGTGAAGAACTTTTCCGCTGTTCCTTTCCATGAGGCCAACTGGTACTGACCATCGGGAAGTGAACTACCAAAACGGGACATTTCCGGACAACTATTTAGCGTTGAGGCCCCAGACATGGCACCTGTAACAGGTCCATGACGGCGGCATTGAAGCAGAACATGTCCTGAGTTCTCTGAAGTCCAATTCGGTTCTTGTCTCCTACAAAGTGTCTTGCAGCTTCCTTGTTCAAGCGCCGCAGGCCATGTCAAGGCCAGCACCAAAACACAGCCAAGAAGCATAGAACGTCTTGGGCACATGCTGCTCCTGCGTTCTATTACCGCCACATCGCTGCCTACCACATGTGCCATGGTACAGGGCCTGACGCCGCCGTCGTTCCGCAAGTTTCTCTTCCCCAATATGTATGACCTGTGCGCTGCGTCAGCTGCTTCTTTCTCGGCTCAACTTGGCGGCATCCCAACCGCCAAGCACAAAGTGTCTCCGCATGCTATGCAAGACATGGCTCAAGTATTCTTTCAATGTTGGGTAGACGCTGCTCGGCTGCAAACTAATGGCTCTGGCAAGCCCCTGCCCCCAGACATACGCAGGCGCACCACAGTCAGGAATCACTTGGGCATGAGGGCGTGGAAAACTTGGATTTGATTTCATTTGAACAGAGTTGAGGGCTCCGAATCTTAAAATTACGGAAAAGGACCGATGAAATGCTGCAGCCGTAGCTCCTAAGGCGGAAAAAACTGCGAGTTCCACCTTTTGGGTAGAAGTTCGGAAAACCGCAACTGGTGAGGTCTGAAGTGATTCACACCCAAAACACTGCAAACTTGCGGTTGCAGGCAGCGTGCACATCTCTAACACCTACATTTTGTCGAAAACGGAAAGATGTGAAAAGCTGAAATCTCTGACAAATATCAGGTTGAAGGATAGCCACCACGTGCGACATCATTTGATGGAGATGGAGAGGTGTCAGCCCCCCCTTGTTCCTCTGAAAACTTGCAGCGGCAGTCGCCCGTTAAGGCCCTTGCTAAAGGCCATGTTGCAGATGCATTACTGACAAATGAAGGATCTACATGCTAGTCATGACACTTACGACAACGATAATGTGGCAAGGACAAAGAAAAACCTCAGAATAAGCAGCGACTCATCACGTCACACAAAGGAGAAGATGAGAACAGCATGATAATGTACTGCGCGGATCAAAAAGGGGAATAGTGATGCCAACCACAATACCAGCAGAAATACAATGGCAATGATCATACCTTCAAAACATGGCAATGATGACAATCATGACCAGAAAACTGTAAACCCCCCAATATAACATCATTATAACCCTATTGTAGCCCAACATTATAGTACTGTCCGTTTTCTCTTCCATTATCCCCATACAACCCCAATACAACCCCATTATAACCCCATGGACTCAAAAACCAAAAGGACCAAAGCCTCAGAGGACCAAAGACCGGAGGACCAAGGCCTAAAGCAAACCGAGTGTGGAAGCCCAATGGGGATAACGGAAAAGAAAATGGAAACTACTTTCATGGGTTCTATAATATTTTTTAGGGTTAGACGGTTAGACATTACCTCTAGGCCAGTTGCGAACTATTTGGGGAGAAAAGCTTTGTGTTCGAACCGGATGACCTTCAGGAGAACATGCTGTGTTTTTTTGGTCCTGGCTCAAATTGTTTTTATGAGCCTCTCACCCTCTCTCATGAGACAGTGCAGGCAGGCTCAGATAGCACTGACATGCAATAACCATGGATACCGGATCCCACCTCCTGATCCTCCGCCTTCTGCTTGCTAATCTGGGCCAGTTCCTATCGAGCGACTTGCATGATCTTCATTTTTTGCCAAACAATGGATTCATTCTATCCCGCCTGAACCTTCGTCTCCCTTCTCTCCTTTCTGACCTTATTACGGTCTCTGTTTGCCTCGGTCCAGCTCGCCGACCTTGATCAAGTCTTACCATGAGTAGGTTTCCTTCCCTCACGTACCACTATTGCGCGACTACGTTGAAGGCAGAGGCACAGTATCTTCAGTCGTTCTGAATACGTGGAGCGTATATACACCAGCGCTCCACCTTCACATCAGAAAAACATCTCAGCAGCTCATGTTGCGAAACCGTCGCATGCATCCGTCAATCATTCCTGCCTATGTAGTTGAGGACCTTGATAAAGCTGACAAGTGCTTGCCGAGAGTGAGAGGCAATCACTTCGCTGGCAACAAGTTCGACCAGAGCATCGCGCACCATCCTCTTGGCAGAATGGCTGCTTTGTGGAACAGTCTGTCTCAATGCATGCAGATCTCGCCTTGATGTTATTTCAAAGGAGCAAACATTCTCCAGCAAACTGCCCACCCCAGGATATACTAGGGTTCCGCAGCGCAAGCAAAAGCACAGCTAATTGCAAGCCCCAAGCCCTCTTACTTGCTGCACTGCCAGACTCAGCAGCAGTCAAAGCTCACACCAACGTCCCACGCACCCAATGCTGAAGAGCAGCTGTACACGAGGGCCAGTAACTTCAAGGTTGAGGTGCTTGAAGCCTGAGCATTCTTTGCTGTGCCCTGGCACAAACACCACCTAACAGCAACTGCAAACATCTGCAAACTCCAGTCGGCAAATTCTATTTTGCTCATATGACATAGAATGCAGTTTCTAACGCATGCCTGCCTCAGGTGCTACCTGGAAGAGCGATTCCTGGCACTGCATCACAACTAATAACTAATGACCAAGGTGCCCAAAATGTCAACCAGCTGCTTGGTGTGCTTGGGATCTTTCAATGACGCAATGATCCTCAGTTTATCTTCCTGAAGGCTTTTGGATGAAGCTTGCCATCCCGCATGTGATTCCAGTGCCATCTGTCATGTCGATCTGCGGCATTGATAATCAGACGTCACTCTCAACCTGTGACATGGAATCATGGAACAGTGAATCCAAGCTTCTGGTGGATTCCTTCGTGTAGGCGCATGGACATGACAGCCCTGGCACAAGCATGCGAATGCACACTGACGCTGTGACCCACACACAACTAGAACCCTTGCAAGTTGAGCACCAGGCAATAACGGCAGCACAAACCAGACCGATAGCGCAAGCATGCATTGCACTTCCCGTTACTTCCTGTCGCCAGCTGCTGTCCCGCGTACTGTCATGAGAAAAAGCCAGTCTAGCATCACGAAAAGAATTTTCTGTTTGTTGCTACTAGTATTCAAATTGCAAGTGCGATTGCCATTAAGGTTCCTGTTCCACGTACTATCACAACGACGATCAGCAGTGCTACTACTATGACTGTGCCTGTCACTACTCGTATTTCTGTCCCGATTACAATGGCTCTTGCCGTTGTTGGTGCTACTACGGTCACCTTGACTCCAGCTAGTACTCTCACTGGGAACTGTAACATTACCAGTGCCATTGTCACTACAACTACTCCTACTGCTGGCACGCAGCTTTCTTACTCAACTTGTTGCTGGTCCCATTGTAATTACTGGGATGGCTACTACGATCATCCACCTTAATATTCCAGTCATGTTTTGGCTGTAGCTATGCCTGACTCGAAGTATCGCTCGCAATGTCACTGCTGCTGCTATAACCACCTTCACTACCACCACCACAGCCAAAACTACGGACGTCACTGCTAGGCTATCACCATCACCACCATATCGTTTAGCAGGCCTGGGCAATTTGAATTGTGCTCCGAGGGTAGGCGCTGCATCGAGGATGGCATCAAACATGGCCTCCACAAGCTGAGCCAGCTGCTAGCATGAGTACAGCAATGCAAGGGCAGCAGCCGCAGAAGGAGGAGGAGGAGCAGCAGGAGCACGAGCAGTACTTGCAGTAGTGTAGTTGCAATTCTTGTAGGAGCCGGAGCAGCAGTAGCTGCCGTGGTAGCGGTGGTCTTTGCCGCAGCAGTAGTACTACTAATAGGCGTCGGGATGCTAATTGATCGCAGGCTTTTTTGGTGTGCATAAGTTTTTGGCGAAGTAGCAAAAGTACTGCGTTGTGTAGCACTTCGTGGGTGTGGACCCATTGACGCCGTGGAAAAGTGAGGGGCAAAAAATCCGGGAAACTACCAGTGGGTTGATTTATCAGGATGATAATCGATCGGTCTTTTGTGGCTTTGCAAATTGGGGTAATTTGTCAAAAGGCCTCGAAGTGCTGCAAATTACAGGACTTCGTGCGCTTCTATGATGCTCGGACAGCTCGTGTGAAGCGTGAGCATTTTGCCGCGACAGCAACAGAGCATTGCAAAGTCTTTGCTGCCTCACCAGCCACCTCTGCCGAGTCGTAGAAGGAGTTGAAGCGATTCCAGACCTCTAGGACCTGCTCCGCCTGGACGGATCTAGAGGCTGCCCCAGCGAGGGTTACAAAGGCTGATGCTACGAACTATGCGGCTTGACATGGGGGTGTCTGCTCACTGGATGCCTGAAGTAGGGATCTTGTGCTTTCGGATCAGTAGCTCTGGCCCACTGCTTATACTCCCTATGCATATGGCAAAGACTATGTAGTTAAACCAGCTCAAAACATCTCAAAACTGTAGTAATGTCTAGAAAGAGGATAGCAAAGCAAGCCGCCATGAATGCAAAAACGTAAACGTGCCAATTGAAGTACCACTCAGCAGTCATGGGCAAGACGAGAAGAATCAGCCTTGAAACTGCGATGAAATTGTAGAATTCCAGCAACCGCAACGAAAAAACTTGAAGACCGCTAGGCCTATTGCCGGTGTTGATGACTCCCAGTACTAAATGATGAGCTGACTTCTCTCGAGTTCACTGTTCTGGAAAATCAGGACACGACTTAACCGACCTGCCTCAAGCTCGTTCATGTCAATCTCATCAAAGGACCTTGCGAATCCAACGCGCGGCGCAAGAATTGCACAGCTATATAACCCGTACATAAACCCAGTTTCCATTTATATAACCCCTATATAACTCCAGTTTCCATTCATGTTGCATGCTTTTTCCTTTTGATTCTCCATTGTTGGGGTACTAAATCCCGCTCTACATCATTTGTAGCATCCCAGTAAAGACCCTATAACAATGCAGTAGCTTCCAGCTTCACTTCCATTATCCCTAAATCCCCAAATGAGCTACAATCACTACCTCCTACATAATTTCGCGGACATGGGTTCCTTGCTACGGACTATATTTGGGATCATATTAAGTTACAAGAGGGACCCTATGTCCACTGTTGAGGGCCCCTTAATAAGGCTAATATTGACAGCAGCTCAGATGAGCTATAATCTTAACTCCTAGCATCCCTCTTCATATCCCCTATAGCAGTCTTCTATATAATCCCGTATATATCCCCCGATAAGGAATTTAGACTATAACTCATGTAGCCCTATAGTTACCGATCATATGGCATTACAAAAGAGGCTCTCTTACCCCAAAAATGGGGACTACATAGGTAAATCTCGGGGAATGGAAAAGAACATGTAAACTATGATTTAGGCTTTAGGGCTTAGGGACATAGGTTAACCCAATAGTCAAATGGACAAACAAAATAGAAAATTAACAAAACCTGGGATGGCAAAGAGGTTTCTAGGAACTAGGGCAAAAGAAGGCTATGGATGAAAAGCTGCAGCCTGAAGGCAAGAGATTCAGCTCACCATCGAGATCGTTCTCCGTAGCCTCGCTGGCGACAACCTCAAAAACTCACCATTCATTTTCATCTGAGCTAGAATCTAAACTCCCGCTTAACGACCCTTATAGTACTCCCCTATGTAATCCCCTATCTGACCCCTTTCAAGGAGCTCATCTCACTACCCAGCCGGGTGGAGGCAAGATTCTCACACAACTCTAGCGGTCAGGAACCAAAAGCCGAACATGCCGCAGTACGTGCACTGCACAAAGCCAAAATCGTGCAACGGCACTTTTAACGCGGATGGGATTCGCCTGTATCGGCGGGGGGTCCGCAGACGCCCCAAATCCCGGGGCCGGAGGGGCGCATCTGCTCCCCGTCCGGCGCCCCTTCCCCCGAATCGCGCCGGCACCGGAAAAATGAGGGCAGTCAGGTCAGCAGCCGCCCCGTGGACGGCATAGGTGATGTCATCGGCGGCCCATGCCAGGATTTCGAGGACCTGGTCGAGGGGTGTGTCCACCTGTTGCCATCCGTGGCGAACCGCCAAGGTACAGTCCGTCCTGGATATCGGGTCAGCAATGTTGGCCTCGGAGGTGACCCTGTAGAAGACGGGCCGCCATGAGTGCATAGCCGCCAGAGACCAAAAGGCGGACAAGAGACCATTCACGGAGCTGTCGCGGCCATAGCCTTTGTTGAGCGCCCATTGGCCGGCGGCGTTGTCGATGAAGGCCACCCAGTCATTGGGCAAGACTCTGGCCAGCGCAACCACCGCCAAGATCTGGGCGAGGACCTCGAGCATGTAGATGTACGCCCGGCGAGTGTCGAACTTGCGGACGAACCAGTCGGGGATGGGGCCGTAGTCGTACTAGACGGAGTCGCCCACGCGGACGACGTAGCCCCAGCCATTGGACGCTCTGTGGGAGCGGGACATGGGGGCATCGGCCGGGACCCATCCTGCCTTATGCATGAGCTCACCCTCCAGGAAGAAGGCGTCCGCATAGACAACGCCGCTAATCGCCCTGGGGGCGGTGAACGAGGCAGCACCTGCTTCAACAAAGCCCGGGTTGCCAGGAGGGCCGCCTGGAGTCCCGGCGTGAGGTCGGTGCTGTCGCCCGAGCTGGCGCTAGCTGGCATAGATGGGGCAGATGGACTGGTTGACAAAATTGAGTTTCCCCGCCAGTCTGTGGGCGGTCTCTGAGGGTAGCTCGCCCGTGTCCAGGACTCGGGAGATGATGGCCGTGATCTTCTTGAGTGTTTTGGCTGCGCGAACGACACCTGCACGCCTTGTACCACATGTGACCGCCCAGGCTCCTGGGCCTTGGACGGTTGGCCAGGTCGTCACCGTCCACGCCGTTAAAGTCGTCCACATAGTGGCCGCCCAGGATGAACATCGCATAATGGAACCACAAGGTCGGTCCCTCCTCTGCAGGATCGTGGCACAGTGGCACGGCTTACCGGCCACTGGCGGTAGGCGTTGAGCAGGTGGCCCGCACTGACTGGTTCTGGTGGGCCAGGCGGGCCGCCATGGCTAGCCGAGCTGCTCGAGGGCGTAGGCGTTTCCTTGTCGGGTGTGTTGTACACCGGGTCTCATAGATGTCTGCCGGATTGGCAACATCAACCGCACCGCCACTCTCGCCCTCATGGGCGCTGACCTCGAGAAATTCAAGGCGGCCGTCGTGACACTGTGGGCGGCTGGCTACACCGACTCGCCAGCACCTCACACAAGCCAAAAGACACGGCGGACGCTCAGCAGCCATCTTGGTGCACATGTGGCACAACCAACCCATTGCGCCCACGGCGGTGGCCACCCCGGCCTCGCCCCCCATCGGGCGGCATGCAGCAACATCCGCCTCCTCGGGCGGGTCCTCTTCGGACAAGCCGCCAAAAACTTCCCACAATGGGCGGACCAGATCGAGCTGTACAACAAGCGCCTCCTCGGTTGGCCAAGTTCCCTGTCAAGGAGCTCTTGGGCGCAGAGGAGGTCCTGGCGTGCCTCACATACTATTTAGACTAAATCCAAGACGCTCACTTTGGGCGAGATCGTCAGCCGCCGGACTTGGGCGGCCAGGCGCAAGCTCAATGGCCTTGCGCTCAAGCCTCAGACCGCCCAGTCGTCCTCTGCCTTGAAAGTAGTGGGCGACGAGCTCCACACAGTGGAGGAGAAAGAGTGGGAGCCCAAATCTACGCTGACCGTTGTGCGTCCGCCGGGCCTGGATACTCCTGCAGTTTGGCAATGAGGACGACGTCAATGCCTACTGCAGCCTGTGTATTGCCAAAGTCCGGGCCCAGGGCGATGCAGCAGTTTTGGCTGCAATCCGCCTGGCGCATTGCCATGGGCATGCGCTCGGGGCGAACACCCTGGCGTTGCCATTGCCAGACAAGTGGCAGAAGCCCAAGAAAACGCTCGGCGGGGGCGGCGAACCCACGCAAGTGGTGCCAGGACCGATGAGGGCGATCAGCCCAAAGGGGCCAAGGCCACGGCAAAGGTAAGGGCAAGACGGGCAGCTCAAAGGAACGGCGGCAATGAATTGCAGGAGGAATGGGGTGACTGGACGTGGGGCCAGTCAACTGGCACCAGACCATTCAGCCTTCAGATACCCATACAGTGTGGCGTCAGGCAGCGGGCGTGGAAACACGTTTCGCACTGCGGAGGGCGGGGGATGTCGTTGCCGGGGCGACCACTACCACGGGGTCCACCTTAGGGCGGCATGGGCGCAGCCGCCTACGTACTTAGCAGCTTTAGGAGCTACCCACCTGCACCTGGCGGATACGGAGGAGACAAGCAAGACGCCCGACACATAGCGACTGCCTGTGCACAAAACTACGAAGGGGCGATTGACCTGTGCACCGCCTGCTTCCGCCGGGCAGGCGACCACGCCATGGGCCATGGGCCCACAATGAGCAGGGCCTAGCGGAATACGTCCGGCCAGAAGGGGCGACATCGCCGGCATGTCTGGGTCGATGGGCGGGCGTTCGAGTGGACAACACCATGTGGCTGGAACTACGGGGCGAGGCCCTGCTCGCTCCTTTTCCGCCACTCGTCCACCGGAGGTGCCTGCTCTGCTTCAGCGAAAGCATTGGGCAAGTTGGTGCAAAGGTGGCCGGGCGGACTTCCTTTTCCGAGTCCTCCGCCCTGTAACTGGCCTTACCCCGATGAGGGCTCGGGCTGCCCTACTTTGTGCTCCGTCTGCTTTGCGTCTTCCCCCGGAGACGAAGGCTCCGGCGATCCGTCCCATCAGGCGAAGACACGCCTAGCCTAGACGGGGCGTGAATGCGTTCAGGGAAAAAATTAAGCATGCCAGTTCTGGGGGGCGCTGCTAACCGCTTGCTAGGACGGGTCGCTAAGCCGGCCTCTTAGCCTGCCCTTGCTCAAGCGCCCCCCTTGACCCGTAGAAGCAGCTGACACCGGGAACACAGGTCTACAACAGGGCTGCCGCTTTGGACTTGGCCCGCTCTGGGCGGGTGGCCTCGCGGTCCTTGCCCTGAGCAGCTCCATGATGACCGCCGGAGAGAACTGCTGGCAGCTCATGCCCAGTTGCTCAGCTTCCTGCGGAAGGGGTGGAAATCGGGCCACACCGAGGCAGGTGATGCGCGACCACCCGCCTGCTTCCATAGGCCCACAGGCTGCATGCCCTGAGACTCGCCCGAAGGAGGCGCCTGGTGGGCAGGATCCGCCCCGGAAACGTATGGCGCCATGCCAGGAGGGGCCGCCTTAGACAGGCAGGGGTGGCCACTGCCGCTGCACCACCGTGTCAAATTGGTCCGCCACCTGGCGAACCGTGGTGGTTGCGCCAGTGGCCGTGGGCGTTGTGGACTCAGTGTTGGCCCTTGAGCGGGTCGCGCCCGGAGTGGGCGGCCCCTCGGGCTCCGGCTCTGCGCCTGTCGGGCGGAACCGCCCCAACGGTAGTACTGCAGACAAAGTAGGCGGTCCAGCCGTAGGGGTCGAAGAGGAGCCCATAACTTGGGCGGTATCCACCAGGTTGGTGGACGCCAGGTAGGCATCCAACGAGGTCATGCCGCCTGAGGCAGACGGCCAAATTGGCTCTTGGGTGGCATGGCTTGCGGTAGGCGAAGCCATCGCCCCAATCGAAGTGTAGGCCAAAGACACCGCGTCCAAGCCCCTTCAGGGGCAGTCATTTGATTCGTGGCATTGTCCGCCGGATGAAGGCGGAATGCCTGGCTCTGACTGCTCGACGCCCCAGCGGGGCCGCGGCCGCCCTCATCGTCGGAAGGCAGTGGGGTGGCTGTGCGCCCCACTGCGCGGCGCAAGCGCCTGAAAGGCTCGCGCCCCATGTAGGAGAGGGGGCGCAAGGCGGCAGCAGCGGTAGCGACATTGTCCCAAGCCGCCATAGCTCAGGCAGAATGAAGCTACTCAACAGGGGCAACAAAAAGGCGGTTCGAGCAATCGAGCTGCGGTGCGCGCCCGATTGCTCCATGTTCAAACGCACACAAGTGTGCTAACAAACAAGACAAGTGGTAAAGCCCCCGCTCACAGGCCTAACATCCTTCAAAAGCTGTCCACATGCGGCCAGGTCACCACTACATCCAAGGCACCAACATGGGATGCCTGCAGGCGCTGTAGGGAGATCCCGTTCCTATCGATTTGGCTGCAGAAAGGTTCCGACTAACGCTCGTCATTCTGCGTGAAGTCGCAGACCTCAAAAATCCCAGGCCTGGGCAGCCTTCACATCAGCCAGCAGTCGCGTGAGGCGTGGCTCTGTCCGCGCTGACTCTGTCAACTTCACCAGGCTCTCGGCACGGGCTGAAAACGTGTTCTGAAGGATATGGCATACATAGCCGAAGCATGCTAAAGCCATGCAGCCCCGCAACACAGCTGCTCCTCGAGGAGCAGCATAAATCTTAAGCCCCCCACTGTTGCCAGCGGGTCTGGGACGTTCTGATTCTCTTGGATAGTGTGGCAAAGAATTTCTGCCACAGAGTCCACGGCCTCTCGAAAGGCATCGAAAGCTGTGTTGCCTAAAATCTGGATTCCTCTGGCGGTCCCGACAGTTGGTTTTCCAGTTGGCTTTCTAACAAAAATTGGCATGAAAAACGCAGCAGGTAGACCCCACTACTTCAACGAGCATGTACCGCATGACCTCACTTTTGAAGAAATGCTCCACCTGCTGGCTCAAGAGCGAAGGTGAAATCAGGATGTGCGCCGAGTCGAAGTCAAACAGCTTGTCCAGCAGGTTGGCGAACTCCTAGAAGAGATGGTCAATGCTAACTCCATGCTTTGCGCAGGACTTTATCTCGCATCAGGGCTTACAACACCTCTCTCTTCTGCCATGAACGGAGACCTATGAACCCCCGCTACCCAGCCACATGTTGCTCCCGCTTTCTAGGTGAATGTTGCTATTGGACTGCAGTTGGGCACCTCCATCGCTTGCTCCGCATGCTTCTGGTCAAAAAGGCCTCGAGGCCAGGCTGTACGGCTTCAAGTTGGGAACTCTGGTGACAAAGCCCTGGCAACTATTTTGCTCTACGTGAAGCCGCGGAGCTTGCAAGATCTGCTGTCTCAGAGACTCTCAGGTACCTGGAATGGGGAGATCATGTGCTCGGGGATAGCCCAAGATTTGTAAACCCAAGGCACAGCATCTCAGCGATCTCCAGCATGGCCTCCTCGCCTTTAGCAACCTTGCAGAGCCACAGCATACATCTCTTTAGCTAAATCCGGGCTCACGTGTCTCCCTCGGGTCAGCAGAAAGCTTGCAGCACACAACGCATTGGCCTTGGAGGCCCGTTGCTCCGCCATAACCTGGGCTGCATCAATGCATCTTGTCTGGGGGAAGCCGCGCACAATCAAGTTGCAAAACCCTTCCAAAATGTACGTGCTTGCGAGCGCGAATGAGCTGAGCAGCTACCTGGATGCCAAACACGGAGCGGACCAAAACGTTTAGCACTTGACGCAACTTGCTGGTCATGATGCTGCCTGTATATGGAGAGCTCCACACTACCAAGCTGCTTGTGTGTTTGAGCTGGGATGCCCGTCTGCTTAAACTTTACAACTGGAGCGCCTCTTACGCTCCTTGAGCCACAGCGGCATAAAGGAAATCGCCCGGGAATGAACATGATGCGAGTGTCCCTTGGGTTTTTAATGGTTACCAATGCACAAGACATCGCTCGCACAGATTTACCCGGAATCCTTCGAAAATCTCTGCAATGCGGCTACATGAACATGGGAGACAGGTATTTGCGACGAAAGAAGGCGATAGCCCACTTTGCCAGTCAAAAGCGTGGGCCTGCACTATCTGAGCGAGGCTTGCAGCTTCTGCTCCTGCACAACTCAAGCAGTTGCCTTCAAGTGTACACGATGTCTGCCGGTGACAAGATTGGATGTTTGGTACTTTGTGCGACCCCGAGATACGGAAGTCTTCACTATATACTCTAGTGACCCACAAAATGGTACCCCTAACTTTGGGAAACCCCCATATCTGCTTAAGCAACCACGAGGTGAGATGATACACCAACAAGCTGGAAGTTTCATCTGGTCTTGGTCTTGCACAACTGATCAACAACCGGAATGCAAAACAAAAGGAAGCAGCCGCCCTTCCAGTTTCAACTGTTTAAAACGCACGTGTTTGAGAGTGTAGTATATCAAAAATACACTCTAGCCTATAGCACAAATTGCTTCCGCTGCTTAACCCGAGCAAGTCCATCTTCTCCGCGTTTTACCTACTTTTCCGTAATTCACAAGTGCTTCAACCCTGTGTCATGTGCATCATCGGAGCCCTCGATTAGTTCTACTGCGTCTTAATTGAATCGCAAGCGCCAGCTGTGCTCGTTCAGCACATTTAGATTTCGCCACCTGCTGCTGCATACTCAAACCCTAACTTCTTCCGCAGTTTGCAGCAATTCGAGTAGATCAACATCTGCTTCCCAAACTGTTCAGTTGGCCCCTTACAGCACAGACTTGCTTAGCGAGAAACCTGGCTCAGGGTCGCGGTAAGGTGAGCTAGATTACTTACCGTCACACGAGCTTCATGACAAAACGACTCCATCCTGGTCCACATCTGGGCTTGGAGCTTGACATACTTCAACACAGCATGATGCGCTCTCTCGAGCCTGCAGGCATGCCTGCTTGCGAAACCTGAGCTCGATCAAAATGTTGTTCTTCCTTGTGTTCAAGACTTGCATTGTAGGGCAGTTCAGACCATCCGAGAAAGCAGTACACGGGCTGAGGGGGTAAGGGCGATAGCGGCCGAAGGAGCTGTAAACAATACCGGCTTCCCCATCCTTGCGATTGAGGCATGCTGAGTGCTGGCACGTTCCAGCTCTGCAGCACGCCGGATAACTCTGAATAGCCTTGAAGGATCGACGGCAAGAGCCTGACTGCAGCTGACTGTGGAGGAGAGAAGCCCAGCGGTAGGTAAAAGAACGAACATCGCGCAAGCCCAGGCTCGGGCAAGCTTTCGATTGCACAAAGGTTGCCATCGCTCTGGGCGCATGTCTGACCTGCAAAGGCCAGGGCACTGAGCAACGGCAAGTGGAGAAGATAGGCGGCGAAGACTTCACGGCTCCGGTTTTGAGCTGGGGTTCAAATTTAGCTTGCAAATCACCTCACTGAGAGGCTTAGGCCACGGAACTCTTGCCGGACCAAAGCGAGCATTGGAACCTCGCCCAATGCTGTGGCTGTAACATACAGGAGACTGCACCATGCATGGGATCTGCTGTTGGGTTCAGAGCATTTGCTGGTAAATATGGCTCTTCGTGACAGAATCTCACAACACGTGCTTCCCCATGCAATGTCGCGCCCATGCGCTCTGAATTTGCGCGATAATTAAGCTGGTCACATTCTGAACTTATGTAGAGTTCTCAGGCGTTCACTTCCGTCAGCTCCTTCATGGGCGCGTGAGGGTACGATGGCGTCTGTGCATTGCCATCGTGA